ATGGACACTTCCTGGCCATTTCACTTCCACATCTAAAAATAGTCCTTTCCAGTCACAAACTCCCTGAACATTCAAGGTGTACTTGAGCTTATTATGCACTAGTCAGTGGAAAGCCCCGCACCCCCATACCTGGGGAATAGCGGGCATTAGACCAGGCGTCCCAACTAAATGAAGCAAATTCCCCGCTATGCGGGGCAATTTCTTATGTCAAAACCTCATTTTTGTACTCCGCCCCCGGGCAATACTTGAAAAATCCCAAATACACAACGTTGACCAAAATTAATTTATTTCAAGAATTGTGCCTCAAATTTAACTCTTACAAAAACTTTTTCAATGTCTTCATAAAATAGATGAAACAATCATGGCTTCCTCTACTCCTCTTGGTAAGACATAGTTCTGTAAAGCATGAAAAGAATGGATTTTAAATTGTACATACCTTCTTGTTGGCGGCCGCCATTTTGAGATCATACGCTTTCCCAGTGTTCTTTGCAGGCCTATTCAAAAGCGAAATCCCCGCCAAAGCCCCGCTAACGGGCCCCGGTCGCTGTTATTTGTGTCTAATGTTGTCGAACACCCCGCACACTGGGGCAAAGATGACCACTTAAAACCGCTAAAATCCCCCGCTAATGACCCGCATTCCCCGGGTATGGGGGTGCGGGGCTTTCCACTGACTAGTGCATTAAGCCGCAGTAGTCGTGGGGATTCTCACTCGGTTGTACAGTGGGAATATGTGTACCATCTACGCATCCAAAGGCTTGTGGAAACCCATATTTATTTTCCATGCCATTAACAAGTTTATTCAATTTATGAATGGTATTGGGTAATTTTATGTATCTTGGGCCTAAAACATTAGTGATAATGTCGTGTACTTTTCGAACCACCAAGGAGACTGTGCAATTTACAACTCCAAATGCATTTGCGGTCATCATGAGAGAGCCTTGATCCTTCAAAAAGTATAGAGTCATGGCCAGTTGTTTTTCAACAGACAACACATCAAGTCCCCTTGGACTCCTACCAGGTTGAAGAAAGGGCCGCAATTCGTCTACTACAGACATGAAAACTGCACGGTCCATTCTCAAGTTCTTCTTCCACTCTCTTTCCGGCAAAATTCCATCGAACAAGTTAAGCCACCACTGTTCTGTCCTCCCCGAATTTCTCCACATTCTACCTCGACGACGGTTAATTCTTGTTCGAATGTGTCGAAGTCGTGCAACAGCGGCATTGCACTGCTGCGTTGCCTGAACAGTTAATTGCCTTTGGGGGAGGCTTGCATCATTAAAAGTGACAATAAAAAGCCACAGTATTGAAAAGTGGCGGCAAGAGCACCTAGTGAAAGGAAAAGTGCATTCACAGCCAATATGCATCATTTGCCCGCCATTTTGTCTGTTTACATGGGTCAGCATTAGATTCCATCCACCAAAACCACCTTGGTCGAGAGGGACTGAGATGGAATGATGGACAACTCATGACTTGTTCTACTAATTGAAAATTACGAAGCTACGACAACATGCCGACTTATCCCGATGACCTAAGTGTATCATTTGTTTGGGAAATTGCGTCAAAACTTTTTACTCAAGAAATGGTAAGTATTAATTTATTGTTCGATTGTAGTATTATAAAACATTTTACGCAATTTTATGCAGATATTTCACGTATTTAAAAGGTGCCCAGATGTTACGTAGTTTTGGTGGATGTCATTAGGGAACATCCACCAAAACTTTGACCAAAACCATCAACAATATATTTTTTAAATTTTATCTATAGCCACTATTAGATGTTCAGGGAGACAAAAGATTTATACCACTAATTAGCAGTTAGTGCTCTGGCTAATTATTTTTTATGGTGCACAATTGCTGACCGACCAAACGTTCATAATGATTATCATAACTCTTAACACATAGAATAAAGTGGTTTTGGTGGATGTTTCTCTCCATCCACCAAAACCACCATAGCAATTTCTGCTACTTCCTTACAGAAGACTGATGTGACCTGCTATTTGGAGTACATAACCACAATCTATTTCTTTGTATGTAGAGATATTTTGCAAAGTTCTTGAGTCAGCACCTTTTATTATTGAAACCATAATCATAACATGGTGCACAATATAGAATACAAAAGGTTCTGGTGTGGTAATCATGTAATCTTGAAACAGGAGAGTTTTTAACTGACTTAAACTGATTTAAACAGACATTTGCAACAAAATTCCAGGTCCAGAAATTTCTTCCACTTTTTCCGCTAAAATCATAACCTTTAAGTACAACAAATCAGCACATTAGTAATTGTTATCAGGGGTCTGAAAATCCTATAAATCTTTCACATTTATTTCAAGTAACCTTTAATTTCACATGGATGAATAAGTATATGCTCAAGATGCAGAATGTCTTACATTTTACAAACTATTTCCCTTTTTATGGATAGACAGTGAAAGGCCTTTGCCACATTGGTGAATCAAACCATTGTATACCATGCATTTTGTGATAATTGTCTGTTTTTGCTCACAATATCCAGAAAAATGGAGGGGATAAATTTAAATAGCAAATTCTATTAATGGTTAAAATTGAATAACATTGGAAGATCAAATTAACTTTGTACTGTTTAAAATTCAGTTTTGGTTTCTTGCTTATTCCAGCCTCTTAATATTCAAAAGCATTCCTTGTCATTTTTGTGTTCTTCTGTGTACATAACTTGAAAAATAAACACAGAGAAAGGAAACCACAAAGGATTAAACTTGAAGCTAAAGCAAAGTTTAAGTTGAGCCATAGCTGATCCAAATACTGAGCACTTTGTATTGTAACCCATTTAGCAGTAAAGTTTATCTATATGTCTGCCAGCTTGCCACAAGTCTTACCCCTCTCCTTCAAAAGTCTCTATAAATAAATTTTTCTTTGTGGTCCCTAATTGATGATAAGTATATTACAGCTCCTCAATTTTCCTCTCTCAAGACAAGGTTACTCTAAATTTAACAAAGTAATGGACTTGATAAAACTCAAACTATAACTCAGCTGGCTGCTACTTGCAACCTTAATTTCTAGATATCAGTATACAATAATCAATATGTTATAAATAAGAACCCTAATGCTTAATTTTGCAGTGATCACCTTCCTCCTTTTCATTTGCAGACCAGACTGGAACCTATATAGGTGTGTTTGCTTGTTTTGAGTGGGGATGGAAGAAAAGGAGTCATGCTGCATATCTGATTTATTAAATCGCATTTGTTCTGTTTATACATGAGTAGAACTACCTTGTTCTCTGAAAAAAATAAAATTTCTCTCATTTTTATCTGTGCTTCACAGTCAAACTTCCTTGTGTCTTGGACAAGAAATCTTATTTTCTTGAAAACAAAATCTTTGTTTCCAGCCTTCTGTAATAGGTAAATATAACAGTGTAAGATGAGTGACAGTGTATTTCTCAAGTTAATTTTTGGAATGTGACAAAACGGAAGTGTCATAGCGTGATAAGGAGCAAACATATGATTGCTTGATAGAATGCAAAAAATGCAGAATTGCATATATTTTCTCCTTTGTCAGCAGCATATGTTAGTGAAAAGTTCTTATAATTGTTAACTTCTAAACCATCTTCAATTTAGTCAAGATTGAACTGTTATCACGTTTGTCATAAAAGTATTCTGAGATCAACGTCATATGACCCATTCATGTATTTGACCTTTCAAATTAGCAAGCCATAGTTGACAGAAACACAAAGGTTGAGGATAAAAAGAAATTATTATATACAGTACTTCTTCTGCATCTTTTCGTTTCCTTTTCTCTCCAGCTGTTCTATCTATGCCGTGCTGGCAATTGAACACTTTCCTTCCCAAAATTAGGAAAGGCACACCAGTAAAAAACGAATTTTTGCTCCTTAAATATCTCATGCATCTTCCCCCAGTATTTTGTGACTTCTGTCCGAGGAAGGAGGTGTAAGCATTAAATTAACCCGAATGATTCCACGATTGTGGTATCATCCAAGCCATGCCAGAGGACTTGAACTAGACAAACTAGTGAGAATGCACAATAGCGATAGCAAAGCTTTGTAATGCTAAAGAGCTATATCAATATATATAAATATATGTTCCCGAAACCTTTGACAGCTTTAAAGAAAGAAAACTTCGTCGTCAATCCTGTTTCAAATTCCGCAATAAGTTTAAGCGCCTCATCAACAGAATTTACGTATCCTAAATTATCTGCATGTCTACCATCAATGGTTCGCGACTTAAAATTCTCGCTATGCTGTTTCTGTTTGTTCCTCAAGAATCATGGGATTTACAGCTTCGGATGTTCGGCTACATCACTTGCGGATTTCCGAGAATCTTCGGTTATGTTTTGCAAGTTATTAAATATTCCATCTCAGTCCCTCTCGACCGAGGTGGTTTTGGTGGATGGAATTTAATGCTGACCGTTTACATGCTTTGCGACAAACCTCACCCTGGGGTCCCGGAGTTGTAAGATTACATGTAAACGTCAGCTATTTTTCGACCACGGTAAGGCGGGTTACCTCACCTACTTGGGGTCCCCCACCTCCATGTAAACAGGGGCTTAGTCAACATTCACCTCACTTATATGTAAATACATCTCACAATATTAATATTCATAGTCAACTCGTGCTGATCATGTCCCTTATTGAACGCATTCTTAAAGATACTACACTACACCTTGTTTTCTTAATGACAGGCAAGAGAAAATAACGGAACCTTTTCAGGATAATGATCGCGTGCCTTAGTTGTAACGATAGGTGTGAACAGATAACTAATCTCTCCAAATTAAATCTCCCAATTACTTGCTTGGGTGCAGAAGGCCGGGTTGCTAGTTTCAGATTAGTACGCTGTCACCGGTTTACGAAGGACTTGGAGATTTTACTAAAGTTTTTAAGTTCTTCTCCCTGCATTTTATGATAGTAGCATCCTTGAATCATTATTTGGACTGTCGCGGTAAGTTAACCATGACAAATGAATTACGCAATTTCCAATATTGGCTCTCTTTACATATTCTGTCACGTTATCTTGTTCAGGTACTGGTCACTTGCTTTTGAACGAGTCACAACCCTGCTTTTTTTACCTCTGATGATTTCATATCGGCTCGTACACTTTCGCTGAAACCCCACCCGCCTCTTAGAAGCTGATAGGAGGAAATTGAGGCCAAGCCCTGACGGTGCAAAGTGTAAACAAACAATTGAAGATACACAAGAATATATCATACGGGATAGTTTCGATATAGTTAGTTCTGAACGTGACAACGACAACAGGATCCAGCGGTCAACACGAAATTTGGCACAATTTGGGTGGCTCGCTCAAGTTCTTTTCCATAGAAGTGTAATTCAAGCTCCGTCTGTCATCATCTAAGTGTGTAATTCGTATTTTCACGTGTGGTTGCCGGTCCGTTCGTATCGTGAGGAACAAACATGGGTCTTCTTTCGCTTGGATCTCCTTTATCGTGGTCCGAAACCAAGCAGTACGCCAATCATGTTCGAAAGCACGGTATTTTGCAGTTTCTTCACATCTATAATAGGCTAAAAGACCGGGAAAATGACTGCTTGAAATGGGGTGACGAGGTACTGTAAAACGTTTCTGCCTCTTTTGTGTGTAATGTATTCAGAATGCTTTATATGAGCGGCTTTTAGCAGCTTGTTTATTTAGTTCTGGTTCCGTGAATACTTGTTCAAGAAAAAAAAATCACATGGTTTATCCTTACTTGTCAAAGACTGCATGCTAAACTACTTTGAGAAATACAGAGTGAGTTTTTTTTTTTCTTTTTCGACATGGACTTTAACACTTTCGCTGCAGGTCGTTAAATACATGTTTTCGTGCAGCTTATTTGGTCTGTCAGGTATGTTTTTTTTAGCCAAAGAATTGGTTGCATATTGACGGAAAGTAAATTAATGTGAAAACCGTAAAATATGTAGACAAAAATGCTTAAGAACTGCGTAAAGAGCTTAAATATTGCCATTAAGCTCCAACATGCGACCTCCATTTATTTTCATTAGGATTGCAGTCTCCGTATGTCAACCGTAGTCATCGTGTTTGACAATTTTAGAAAGTTTAATGCATTAAGCATTCGATATTGCGTGTATTTTCTACTTATTTGTCAACGAAAGGATGCGTGTACTTCAAAATCTTCTGGGATCGATGTTTTTTTTTGTTTTATTTGAATTTCTCATTAAAATTTGCCAAGTCATTTTCCTAATTTAGTCATACAATTTGCTGAGTAAGTACCGTTTTAATAACAATAGGTCATAATTCTTAGGAAAGGAAAGGAATCTTGTGTGGAATTTGACATGGAATTTGACAATTAATTTGAATTTGTCACTTGGCCATTGGCAATACTGCTCAAGTTATCTAACTACAGGATAGATCCAGTGTTTATCCATGTTGTCTCAAAAGAAAAAATTATGCTTAATCATGGTACACAATAATGTGCTACACTATCACATTAATAATCTCTTGAACAGCTGCTCTAGGTTGATTTAATCTCTTTATATGTAAATACTACTGTACTTCATTAATTGGTTACACCTCTATTAGTAAGAGCTAAAATATTTGCAATAAATTTGTGCAACCTACATTGATTAATTTGCTGGCAGTGCCCCAGTACATTAAGAAGTGAATCCTGTGTTCTGATCGGCTTCTCCAGGCAGGCAGGCTAAGATGGGCTTATCTTGCTCTCTCTGGACTGTGCACTTTGATCCCCAAAAAAAAAAAAAAAATTGCATTTAGGGGTCTGTCCAAGTTCCTAATTTTTGGACAATGCTGGCAATGGAGTTGCAGAAAGCAGCAGAATACAGTCATAACATAGAAAACATAATCAGCTATCATGTTTTTATTGTACTCCAACAGTTGGCTTTCTTTCCAACTCTCAAAATAAACAAGTCATTCTTGAAGTCTATTTGCTATGTAGTAAATCCAGTAGTGACCAAGCTTGTTCAGTCAAGATGGCTGGATATTCATTTTTATAGACCTCTAATTCATCTCAGTTCACAAAATTGCAGAAAATATTCTGCAAAACCTATAACCTTCCAGCCATCTTGACATCCTGTGTGGTCAACAAGGCATATCTATGTATTAGTGGCAAAAGCAGTTGGCATTACCTCCTCTTTCTTCTTGTACATGTACGTGGTGATAACCCCACACTTAACATAACAAACCAAAATCTTGTAATTCATCTCTCATCCATAGGTTAATTAAAAGTCCTCCCCCCCCCCAATGTTACAAGAAATTAATGACCATTTTGTAACTCTGGGCAAAATTGTAATGGGAGAGAGAGGGAGAGAAAGTTTTAGAAAAAATTCAAAAAGTATAGTAGCAGATCATAATAGTTTGAACCATAGAATTGTTTGAGTGACTCTGCCAGACATTGATTTACATATTAAAGTACTAAATTTGCTCATAATTTAACCTTTTTGTCTAAAGGTGGAATACACATTGATAAAACTTGACCATGAGAACAAGAAAGTTTACACAGACTTGAGGGCCAAAGAAATGCTAGATGTGCTAACACTGGAGGAATTTAGAAATCCAAAGTAAGAGACAGTAACATAAGTATGTTTGATGATTTTAGATATATGAAAGTTCATATATTTGCACTGCAGTGGAGAGATGAAATTAAGAGATCCTCGCAGCTAAGAACGTACACTACTGAAACGATTAGTTGTAAATAGGACCTGAAAACTGTGCACCGGTATCGCAGAGGTCATGGGTTCATATCCCATACAGGCCTGAATTTTTTTCAGGTCCTATTTACAACAACTCATTTCAGTAGTGTTCTTAGCTGCGAGGATCTCTTAATTTCATAAGTATGTTTGTTCTCATTCTGTTCTCTTTACATTACCTATTGTTATGACAAGGAGAGTCTTTTTAACTGAACCATGAGCTTCTTAAATTCACAAATCATTTCCTTTATCCTCGTGACGCTGATTAGATTCAAGGGTGTTAACTAAAGGAACTTCAAGAAGACATACATGAGTAGTCACTCAGTGGTTAACTCTTTCCCCCGGCCCTTAACATCAGTATCCATATTCTCCATAATATTCACCATACATTTCACAAGATGCTGACAAAGAGAATTTGTTTAATAATCAAGAGCTGCTCTAGTTGATGATCATTTCCTATATTCTCATGACCTTAATGTTTGATTCAAGAGTGATATTGTAAGGAGAATTTAGATACTAGTCACTCTAAGGAGTTAAAGGGTTAAAGTGGCTAACTATGTTTGAAATGAGCAGATTCAACCTTGATAAACTCAGATACAATGTACATGTATTGCAGACTTTTATCCAAAAATAAAAAAAAGACTTAGGAGATTAGAAAAATACTTTTAATAGATTCCGTATCACCCCAAATTCGGTTACAGGGTTTAATTTGTGTAAAGAATTTGAATGGTACAAATTAATTCTTAGTGACTGTGATATTCTTTGTGCCAGTACCAAGAACTTGAATAGTGCTGGGAGAGAGGAGGGTGGGGTGAAGTTGGAGACTAAAAAGGATCCCAGAGATGAGGTTGCAGTTTGTGCACTTCATTGTGCATGTAAGGTTTTTCGAGGATTGGTGTTCTGATGCTGACCATTAGCTTCCACTCATCTTGCAGAACAATTGGCAGTGTAACCTTCTGAAACTCACAAAGGCAGAACACTGTGCATATAATCTGAAAAATTTTTCACATGTATAAAGATCATATGCATGTACATATGAACACCCTTATGAAGTAAAATTTATGGGATAGAAATTTAATTTAAGATGTACAGAATAAAATTGTAACTGTGGTAATGTTGGAGAGATACATCAGGGTAAAAGTACCTGGGATTTGATTTGTAATTGATTATAATTAATGAGGTGATTATAGATAAATTATGTACTTAACATAGATATATACCTGGTGATTTTATATGTGTATTGGACAAACATATCATGTCTTAAAGGGAGATTAGTTTGTAGTCCCATTTACTATAAATTTTGGTTTGCCTTGGCAGTTAAAATTTTTTTCCATGGGTACAGTTCCATTATCAATTTTTGGTCAGTTCAAGTGTAGTAATTGATTTGTTACAAATCAGTAGTTATGGTTAAAAAAAAAAAGACATAGATAAAAAGTAATAAACAGGTATACATGTATAAGAAAGAAATCAGTTTGAATAAAAGTACTGTACCAAACAATTGCTGCATTTTGTTTAGTAACAATATGTGATTGAAATTGCAGCACTAACAAGACTGCATGGAGACCTGAGTATGCAGGCTACATGGTCGAAGGTAATAAAAGGATTTATCTGTCTACTGAGCTTTTGATTTACATTTGATTTTCATCTGAACCAAAGATCTCTTCTTCTGCATTACACGTAGATTGAGAACTCAATGACTTGATTCATTAATTAATTGTAAATTCCAGGGACACCGGGCCAACCTCTGGGTGGATGTATGAGACACTTCAACATGATTGAGGCAAACATGAGGCTTAGGTAAAGTCACAGTTAATCCAATTGATTAGTGGTTTTAAAACAAATTTAGCGGTGGTTTGTTGATTTGTATCTGTATTGCAGTTTTCCTGCTTGTCAAACCTTTCTTTCCTCAGTGCAAAGTACACTTTACAATTTCTTTATGCAATTAAGCACAATTGTTTTTGTTTGTTTGTTTTTTTGTGTTTTTTTTAACAACAGACGTGAAGAAGTCTTGAAGAATCTCTCAGAACCTGGAGAAACTGTTTTGTCAATTTGTGGATTTCCCAGGTAACTGGATTGTAGTAATGGAGGTTGTATTTACAATGAATCCATCAATAAATTGCTCGGTGATATAGCTTGTTTTTACATATTATTTGGTGAAGTATGATATGGACATGAGTGTTTAGATGAGGTTACACCCTATGTGAAGACAGAAAGAGACTTCTATTCACAACAAATTTGTCTAAAATGCACATGTATGTACGTTTTTATTTAACCAAACCTACCAGGCAAGAGGGTTGGTAAAGTGTACTAACAATTAATTTGATTCATAGTTGTTTTATTGATAAGGGTTTTGTGTTAATGAAAAGGACAAATTCTTTTAAAATTTTAAGGTTTCACTCTGAAGCAGATGCTAGATTTTTTTAACTTGAGGGTTTGTTTAAGTTTTAACTGATGCTAATGAAACAATGATTTCTCTCTTTAAGACTTGGATGCCCAAACTTTACATACCCAAGCTTTGACCCAACTCCTGTTGGAGGAACTTCCTGTTCAATGTTTTTTCCTGATCAGGCAACATACCAAGGGCATCCAAGATTCAGGTAAATATTACAAAGAAATACAGTCATGTAACTATGTATTGACTTCTAAACTTGGATACTGTTGCATTCTTTTTCGGATTAAAAACTAAAAACTGTTTTATTTTTCCTTCAGCACCCTTACACGAAACATTCGGGAGAGGAGGGGCTCTAAAGTTGCCATCAACATTCCAAGTAGGTTTATTGTTTTAAAACAAAAAAAAAAGAAAAGGAAAGTAAAACAAAGGTAATTCTGAGCAGGGAAATGGGTTATTTTTACTCAAAATTGCTGGTTAATATTCATTTTAAAAAAATCCTCAAAAAGAAATGTCTTAACACAGTCCTCAAGACTTGACATCCAATCCTTGATTCTTGGAATTATTTAGTAAAGAATTATTTGGTAAGGAGGGCAGGGTTTCAAAGCTGAATTGTACTGTACAGTTAGAATGGCCAATCTACTTATATGTAGTTTTCCTCTGTAATTTAAACTCACTTGCAAGGGTCTTTTCTTAACTCATACTTGTGCAAGTACTTGCATTTACTTTGAGTAACTGTTAAAACTTGTGGCTTTTTTTTTGACAGTTTTTAAGGATGTAAACACTCCATCACCTTTCATCGAGAAGTTTCCTGTAGTAGAAGGGGAAGGAGCAAAGGCTGCTTTGCCAGATCACATCTATTTAGATAGCATGGGCTTTGGTATGGGCATGTCTTGCCTTCAGGTAACTTTCATAAACTGTGCTGTCTGTCTGATGGTGTCTATTTCTCAAAATGGGGTACATTACAGAAGGAAGTTGATAAAACCAAATCACCCTGTTGTACTCTCCCACCGACGCAGCACCACGGTTTCTTTAGAAGCTTACATATACCTTTAACTTTACCTGACTGTCATGACAAAGGGCTAATGCTTGAAGCTTTAGAAACTCTACGGTGGCCAATATACTTTTATTAACTCAGTTGATGAAACCAAATTATCTTGTTCTACTCCCCCACTGACGTAGCACCACAGTCTCTATAGCAACTTACCCCCTTTGTACATATATTACGTAACTATATTGTGTTACTTGCCGCCCTAAAAATCAAACACATCGAATTCAGAAAGAATATTACATGTTTGAAGTGCTCTTCAGACAACAGGAGACAATTATACGGTTTTCATCCAGATCGGTTGACGGTTCTTCCGCTGGGAAGCTCTTTCTTTAAAACCCTATCTGTTGTAATTGCTTTAACTCTTCGGTTACTCCGTTTCAAACGTTTATGACGATAATATGGATCATTTTAGATGACGTTTCAAGCCTGCAGCATTCAAGAAGCGAGGTTTCTGTATGATCAGCTGGCAGTTGTTACTCCTATTGTGGTAAGTGCAAAGGAAAAAAGCCCTAGTGAAAAATGCTTTTTATATTTCGTCTTCTAATGTCTTGGTTATGCCAACAATTTTGCTTGTGTGTTTTAATTCATAATTTTTCATTGGATTTCATCAGCTGCACTTCCTGCTCAGTAGATATGGCTGTTGGCTTTTATAATCTTTTATTTGTGTTTTGATGTACGCGTACTTCCCTTTTGTTCTTGAAGATGGCTCTCTCTGCCGGAACTCCGATCCTGCGCGGGTACCTGTCAGATCTGGATTGCCGCTGGAGCGTGATTTCAGGCTCAGTTGATGACCGCACTCCCGAAGAGAGAGGTCTGGAGGTGAGTTCGTAGGAAACATTAAGTTGTGCTTCATTTTGGCTTTGCTTTGTTTTTCTAATCATTGTATTATTGTGCGTCATAGATAAATTTTCAATTTAGTGTCTAAAAGTAATCGGAGATTTGTTTACTTTGCTCTTTGATTAGACCAGAAAACTCGCGCCACTTTCTCGACCAATAAGATGCCAAACTTAAACTAATCACGACTTGGTCGCCCGCGTTTTCCCGCGCTCAGGCAATTTTCTTGTTTTTTACTGTGAGTTCTCATTGGCTCTTAAAGGAATTTTCCTCTCTTTTGATTGGTTATTGTGATTACTTTGGTTTAGGTTTTACGACACTCAATCGATAAGCGCTCAAATACAAAGTTTGATCGTAACTTAGAATAAACTCTGTTCTTTTCTTTTCGTTTTGTTTCTTGTAGCCTTTGAAAGAAAACCGATTCGTGATCCCCAAGTCACGGTACGACTCTATAAGCACATACCTTTCTCAAGACGGAGAAAAGTATAGTGATATCGACCTGGTGTACGACAAGGAGATTTATCGGCAGCTTATAGACGCTGGTTAGTATACATGTACCTGTTATTTGTTCATAAGATACGTAGATCTGGTGTATAAGCTTTTATTGAGAAACTTATTAAGGAAGTTCGTGCGACCTTCAGTAGATCAGATGCTCTACCACTGAGTAGACTTGTGTAGGAGACTTGCAGTAAGCTAGGCTGTTTTACAGGTTTATGGTAACAAACTCTCTGCGCACCATCAGTATAGGAAAGTTGATTTGTAATGCTTCTGCGCAATGATGGCCAAGGTTATATGTTAGAAAGTCTATCTTGTGTTATTTTACTTAAATTAGTTCTCGCCATTGTTTTGTTTTCCAATTTCAGGCATCGATGATCAGTTAGCTCGCCATTACGCACACTTGTTCATTCGTGATCCCTTGACCTTGTTCCAAGAGCATATTCACCAAGATGATGAACAGAACACAGATCATTTTGAGGTACACAAGGTTCCTTTTCAAACCTGTTTGTCCTCGTTTAAAGTCAAATATTTTTTAGGAAGGCCACGAAAAAAAAAATAAAAGAAGTAAACATCTGTGTTGCAGTGTTTGTCGAGAACTCCATGACCGTACACAATGTTTACGTGTAGTTTTTGTGTTCACATAATGTTTTAATTGGTAAATCGGTTCAAGATGATCGGAATTCTATAACTTTTTTACACGTTGAGGTCCAGTACTCCAAAAAACAAAGAAATGTGTTGGGCTCACTAAATCAACGGGATACAGATGTACCTGAGTTTTTGCCCCATGAGATACCAATACACCTTAAAATCGTAAATACTTTTATACAAAGTACCTAAACTTGCTTCGAGATTTTGGTTTCTTTTTGGAAACAGAACACCAGAATTTATGAAAACGAGATTGTTTTAATACGTATAGTGATGCAAAAATGACGAAAACACGAGTTAAAAGAAAAATGATAGCAGAATACTTAAAACCATAGGCAAGCTGATGTAGTTTAGTACAGTGCACCGGATTTTTGCATCCAAAGTAACACTGCTTATACTGTAGAATTCTTGTTTTCTATCTCCTCAGAATATCCAGTCTACAAACTGGCAGACTATGCGTTTCAAGCCACCTCCTCCCAACTCCTCCATCGGATGGAGAGTGGAGTTTAGGCCAACTGAGGTAGGATTCAACATTGAAACACTAGATCGACAACAGTACCTGAGCAATTGTGAACCTACTACTCCCCTAACCCAACATTAAACCTGACTTGATATCAGTACACTGTTTTGGGGTTAGGGGAGGGAGGGGTGGGTGCGCAGTTGTTTAGATAATTGATCCGAAACACTCAGAGCGTCTTTTATCATAACTAGCTCATCAGAAAGAGCAGGAAAAGTTTCACTGTTTTTAGGTTAGGGGAGGGAGGGGCAGGAGCGCAGTTGCTCGGAAACTGAAATTGATCCGAACGCCTGGGCGTTTTTTTATCATAACTAGCTGATCAGAAAGAGCAGGAAATGTTTCAAAGTGATCACGACACGTGACTATCATTACGCGACAGATGACTTGGTCTTAGCTGATACATGTATTTGCTCCTCCATCATTATATTTCACAGTAGACTAACAGTGTTGCTCTCTGTAGTAGTTTTGAATGATGCATTTCTTCCAGGGGTGATATTGTAAGGAGAGATTAAATGCTAGTCGCTCGGGATCAATATCAGTATCTGGGAAACTGCCCACCTACCCCTCCCCTAACCCAACATTAACCCTAAGTTGGCATCAATAGACTGGTGTTGAGTTAGGGGAGGGGTAGGTGGGCAGTTGCGCAGATACTGATATTGATCCGTCGCTCGTGGGTTAAAGAGTTAATAAGCAACTTGAACATGTATCTTTGGTGTTTCGAACATATTTATAAAATAAAAAAAAGGTAGCCCAACGTTTATTGGATTTAATTCAGTCACCGATATTTCTGATTATGAATGTCTTTGTTTTTTTCTTTGATTCTTCAACCGTTCAGGTTCAACTGACAGATTTCGAGAATGCCGCCTATGTGACGTTTGTTGTGCTTCTTACACGAGTTATTTTGTCGTTCGACCTCAATCTTCTGATTCCTCTATCCAAGGTAACACTGAAAGGAATTCTGTTCGTGAGACAACTAGTGAGGGAGGGATCTTGCCCGTTCGTAGGTTTAGACAACGCGTCCGAGAATTTAGAGGCCATATCCAATTGATTATGAATGCAATATTAGAAAAAAAAAGATCACATTACTGTAGGGCCAAGCTCGAGCTGAAGTCCAAGAAACTTCTTAGCCCAGAAATTCTAGCCCCTAATCCGCGGTTTCTCCCGCAACAACATGCATTTTGGTGATGCCCTCCTTCCAGCTTCATCATTTTTATGAAGATCTCCTGTCAGTTCACCTGTGCCTGAGTAGAAAGAGGCCTGGTGAGAGGGACAAACTCTGTTTCCCAATGGTTGATCATCCAATTACAAAATCGTCATTCACTGAGGTTCGAATCCTCACGGATTCAGCGTTTTTTTTTCTCACCCATGAGCCCAATGAAACTCTTTTCTGTGCCATATTGAGTGTTACTAAAACCAACAAAACAACACACATTCTTACAGCGACATATTAACGTACTTTAATTTATTCCATTCCTAGGTGGATGAGAACATGGTCACTGCCCAGAAGAGAGATGCAGTCCGCCAAGGCCAGTTTTACTTCAGGAAGACGTTGAAGAAATGTAAGATAAACAAAAAGAACTATGACAGTAAACAACAACTGCATCAACAAGTTGAACCCTTAGCTTCCTCGTGCCACCTTCATTAGGCAACGTAATCCCAGAAGGTTACTCAATTCCCACTCCTTCTTTGGTGGACGCGGTAGACTAAGGTGTAGTGCCGTGGGCTCAGGGTCGACAGTTGCGAACTTGCGGGTTGAACAAGAACTTGTATCATTGGCAAGATACATAAACCTGACTCTCTTAGTGCCTTTCCCCACCCAGCTATAAAAATGGTTCCCAAGAAGTGTCAGGCAAACTTGACTGAATGCAGGAATACTCATACGTGTTGCTTGCGATTGACTATTGTGTCATTCAGGAAGGGGTGCAATACGTTTAGTCGCTTTATACTTTAGAAACTTGGTTAATCTCCAGTAGCTATGCGAGTCAGTCTTTTGTTGTTTGTTTCGTATCCTCCCCTCCCTCGACCGTCTGCATTATTCTTTCCTTTGCCTGGTGACAGTAGGCGTACCTTCATGACCTTTGGGGCCTTGTAATTTTAATAAACTTCTAAGCACAGAGGTAAGAAGATTTGGGAAAATTATCCTTCACGGGACCTTGTCGAAATATAACGAATTCTCAGAAATAGTCAATGGAGAACGGTATGTTCATCAGCTAAGACAAAAATATTCTAGATCTTGGGTGAAAAATTGCCGTTGATAATTTAACACCTGTGTTATAACTTTTCTCTCTCTTTTCCAAGGTCCTACCGCGGCCAATGGAAGCGCTCAGAATCCAGAGTTGGAAGAATGTAAAGACGAGTATGAACTGATGACAATAGACAAGATAATTAATGGAAAGGTGAGCCATGGTGAAAACGAAAACTGCTCTCTTTGACCCTTTACTTTAGTGTTATTGTTGTTTCACATATGTATTTAAATCCAATCATGTTGTTGTGCAGGAAGGTGAATTCCCTGGTCTGATACCCCTGATGGAGAGTTACCTCAGCAACGTGGATGTTGACATTGACACGCGATGCACCATCTCGCAGTATTTGAAGCTCATCTCTAGGAGGGCGTCTGGTGAGTGACTGACACAAATTACCTAGATAGTAGCCACCATAACCGTTAGGGCTCAGTTGTATGAGGAGGGGTTACGCTATCTATCGGATAAATCGCTCTCTAGCCGATCAAGTGATAGCAGACGTACTGCACTATCCACCAGATAGGGATTTTTTCAATAGGGCCTGACTGTTACTGAAATCAAGACTGCGTCTTCGGCCCTTGAATTGCTTACGAACCCTTTGTGAATGCAGACTCCACTTTTTTTATTTTAAATTATTTTAATCTTTACAAGATGTTGATTAACTACATAGTCTTTGGTGGGCTTGAAATTCTACCGATAAAAATCTGACACAAATCCTTTTCTCGCTGCGGCAGGTGAGCTGTTGACCACAGCACAATGGATGCGTAGGTTTGTTGAAGTGCACCCTGACTACAAGAAGGACTCTGTTGTCAGTGAAACGATTTGTTACGATCTTATGAACACTTTTGACCGCATAAGTAAAGGCGAAGTTGGAGCCCCTGAACTCTTTGGGAAACCTACTTCGAAAACAAGTGATGTACTGCTGAAGAAATGTTTGGAAATCAAAGAGGAGATGAACAAAATTGAAGCTGGGAAAGAGGCTGTGTAAAACTGATGTATTTTCCGCAAAATTTGTACGTTATGGTCAGCGTTGTTGTTGTATAGAGGCAGCTGACTTGTGTAATGAAAACCCTCTCAGCATCGAATGCAGTGAAGTTGTACAAAGCTAAAGGAGTAAATTTTGGAGTAGCTATCTAAAGTCAAGTTGCCAATTCAATGTTGCATATTATTGGAACTCACCATATGAATATATTGTCAGTAACCGATTACATTCGTATAGCTTAGAAAACGCTCTTGAAGTCTCGTTACCAAAGGTGTGATTTGATTACTCGACAAATTTTCGGACTAATGAAATCAAAGAACAAATGTGACCTTCGAAGTGGTGCTTAATCTTTTGAATTTCGTTACAAGGGTTTGCTAGCTTCTTGATTTGAAAATATTTAACATACACGGTCGTAGAAAACTTCGCAATGATTTTCGTAAAACCCTCATTGCGCTTACATTTGGATCATAGGCAACATTGTAAATGAAAGAACGCATATTGATCATTATAAGGGCTTCGAGCGTAATGGTTTGTAAATAATCGGCAGCTTTTTATCACAAATAAAGATCTATTTAACTGGAATCAAGGTTTGTTGTTGTTAGTGTTGCTATGAGTGATTTTTTCAATTTTTTTTTGTTTCCATTTGGTTTTGTTGTATTTTTTTCCTTTTTCTTCTTTTCTTTTGTCTAGTTTTTGCACTCCCAGACAAAATTAGTTGAGATACTTCTCCAAAACGACGCCATCTCACCCTTCTTGCATGCAGTGTTCATTGCCAATGTGTCCATACCATCTTGCAGACCAACATTTATTGCCAATTTTTTATGCCATCTTGCAGACCAACATATTTATTGCCAATTTTTCTGTCATCTTGCAGACCAACTGTAATTGCCATTTTTTCTATGCCAGCTTGCCGACCACCAGCAATTGCCAATTTTTCTACGCCATCTTGCAGACCAACAGAAATTGCCAATTTTTCTATGCCATCTTGCAGACTAACATTAATTGCCAATTTTTCCGTGCCGTCTTGCTTACCAATATTAGGGGGGTAGGGAAGGCAATAAGTATAGTGACACAGTCAAAATCCCCCCTCCCCCTCTCCCTCGCGATAAATAGTGACCGGTCTCTAAAAAAGATACTTTGCGTGGGTCTCATCGGAAATTAACCAAGAACTCAGCACCTAACAGATGTACCAAACTTTGCCTAAAACAAATTAATTTACTCGCTGCTATTTATATTGCAGATTGTAGAAGTTGTTATTTAGAAGCGGTTTCATGATCCATGCTTTGACCATAACGAGCAGAAAAAAAAAATTGGCAACTCTGTTTGCACGAAAAGTCGCCGATTTGTGCGACCTGTGTCAGGCGCTCCTGAAAAAATCTGCTTTAATGTTTTTATAACTATGTATATGTTGATAGTCTATAGTTTAAATGAGATAAACAGTTGGATTAAAGTTTTAAGTCGGCAAATGTCGTTTCAGGAATGACTTGATCCTGGAGCCCTGGGGGATACTGATGATAGCCGAAGTGGAATATTACTGTGATCACCAACCTCTCTAAAAGTAACAAGCAGTCATCCACAAAAGTGACGAGGGGTTGAAAGCTATTAAGTGGCCTTGAGGTAAAAGAAATTTCGCTGTTAAATTATTTTCAGGTCGGTAAATATACCGCTCCGAAGCATCCATTAACATGAATTAATGTACATGGACCATTTAACAGCAGGAAAGCTCAGCGAGAAATCATATTAAAGTGGTAGTTTAAACTCTTCTTAATAACCAACACAAGGCTTTTTCCCATATGCTATGTGATTAGAAACTCATTCAGGATAAATAAGAAAAAGGTAAAGCTTGGACACACTTTGACAAGACTTCGAGGAGGTACGTTGACTGAATATATTTCGTCAGTATATTTAAGTCAGCAGATTTCAAATTTTGACGAAAGTGTCCTCCATCGTTCCGAGTGGTAAATTCTTACTTTAAATTCGTAGTTGCAATCTCTTGGAACTTAGCAATGTTGTACTACAATTGTAGTTCCCCGGTTTTCCTTAATCGGTGTTATTTTCTATACAATATCATGCATGATGAGACTATATGCGTAAGTTGCCCTTGTCTTTTATGGTCTGTTTGTTTTTGTTGTTGTTGTTTTTGTTTGTTAAGCTAAAAGGACCGTATCAAACGAATGACTGATATATTTTAAGCAGATTCAGGACATGTTTTCTTTTTCGTAGAGAAAATAAAGAGCCTGAACTTCATCATTTATCTCACATGTTATAATTTTCTCCTGCTGTTCTTGTTTTTCTCAAGCAGGCTGAAAGAAAATGGTAACGAGTTACTCTTTATGGCTCTGCGTCTTCCTTTCCAGTTTCCCGTTCATTTGTGGCGGACCATTCAAAGAACACGGTACACGTTTATCTTCTTTGGTTTGTATTGAATAATAAATTTACATTTCAAATTTAATAAATGAACCCAGTTTCTGAACTCCAAAAAGAACGCTATTGACAGAGAGTTTACCTCTAGTTTCGTAATGCATTGAAGATATTTGTAATTGTGTTCTCGATTAACTAAGTAATATCCTCTCCTGTTTTTATCTTCAGTAAGATTTCTGTATAAAGCCATCTCTAATTGAGCCCAGTAAAAATGATATATACAGTTTATGATAGTCAATGACAAATTCCAAGGTGGGCTTTGGGACGTAAGACGCTGAGTCGAAGCATGCTCTGACATTTCCTGAACCTAAGTCATGTTAAAATATTTTATTTGTCTCCACTACTTGCATGACCACGCGTGATTGAAAATCATACCGAGCGTATCAACCACACGAGAGAACAATTTCGTTTCCCTCAAAAACAGTTGCACAGGTTCAGTCAGAAAAAGACAACGGATTGAAGAGTGGAGAGGTCGCTGTCAATCATCAGGATTCCCGCTTTAATAACAAGCCTGTGAAGAAATCTTTCAATTATGGTACAGGGTACGGACATTACCACCATCCTGATGAAGATCTGGAGACATCTCAATATCTTACTGATCTCGAACAATTTTACAATTATTGGTTTGGAGGTTAACTCACTTTTATCGAGAAGTTGTTTATTAGTTGGTGTATTTATCACGTAAAGGCCTAGGTATTCAGGGTTCCTTGGACTTTGACATCAACGTAGCAGCAGAGAAAGAAGGCCTGACGTAAAATTCGCCTTCATCTTATTGTTTCATGTTACTGTAAAACGTTAGTATGAAATAAACTCTCTTTCTACGCTGGAGAGATTGTTTCTGTTGTTGTTGTACCCGGCCCACGTGGACACGGCAATTTCAAGGGAGGTTGAGTTGTTCCAAACGCCAGTTCGTTAGCACTTTTAGCTTTCTTTGTTTTTCTTTCTAGCGTTGTTTTGCGTAAGAATGTCCCTATAATTTTCATCACTTGTGTGCAATGTGTTATTACAAAAATTTTGCAGAATTTATTTGCATTTTAAGTGCGTGCAGTATGTTACAGTAAACATGTCTACACCGTGAGAAACAATTCTTAATAACAATATATTCTTATCTTCCTTTTGTCAATTGGTATATTGATCACCTTTTTGCCCCAGCTGGGTTATGAAAGAACCACAGCTGCACCGAGCTTACCCAAAAGTTACTGCCAACCATCATCACTTTCAATTAACAAACCTATTGATACTTAATTAGAGCTGTAAAGCAAAGACGCTCCATGTTTTCGCCAGAATAGTGTCAGCTTTGAGAAACAGCTGCAAAATATTTACTTAAAAAAAGGCAATTAACTTTTATTTTTCGGTCGACTCAGTTGCCAATAAACGTTCTTGAAGCGTGTAGTGGTAACCGTGATATATTGACCACTGAAAAGACAGAATAACATTTTTCAATCTATTTCTTTGATTATATTTAACGTAAAAGACTGATAGCAAAAATAAATTTCCTGCAGAGCTGGGCTCGTAATGTGTAACACGTCATTTGAAGTTACGCTCGACCTCTCGCGGAGTTATCATTTTTTAAAGAGAATATGCCAGTAAGGAAAATCACTCCTGATTGGAAGGGAATATCTTTGTTAGAGACATCGTGTTTATTTGGTTTCTGTCATAGACAAATCCGGTCGTGCGTCGGAGTTACGCTACATAAAAAAAACAAAAGAAGATATTTCGAAAGTCTAAAATGTTTCGAAGTCAGTATCTATTCAAATTTTTATAATTTGACTTTTCCTTTGTTAATCAATAAAGTGAGAAGTGGTGACGTCAATGATAAAATACGAAACAATGGATCAATATCAGCATCGGTAGGTGGGCAGTTGCCCAGATACTGATATTGATCCAAACATTGCTGAACAAAGCGCCAGGTTATGTTTGCTTTGAAATCATCTTTAAAAAGATAGTACTAGGTGGCTGTTTGCGATGCCCACATTCGTAAACTTCCTCACCTTAAAGAAATTGTGACTTTGACTAAGTCTTTGAAAGGTAAGGATTGCTAAATCATAGTATTATATTTGATTGCAAAGGCAAATAAATCGCTCAAGCATGGGATCTTCTAGCATTGAAATCTAGCATGAAATCAAAACGAAATATAACTTGTTAAAGTCAAGCATGATCATTTAATTTCAGCAGTGTGTTTTAGACGTAGTTATAGGAGGGGGGCATGGGGATTTTCGGTTTTGCAGTTTTGGCTATATTTTGGATCGGTTTTTTCGGTTTTTGTGCAAGCCAATTGAAATATCGTAAGTATCCCTTAGGGGTTCACGCTTCTATTAATAACTGGGATTTGAAAAATGTATCGGTTTTGACAGTTTCGCATGCGGATTTCGGTTTTGATCGAATTTTTTTTCGGTTTTTCGGTTTTAAATGATTTTTTTCTACGGTTTTGCGGTTTCTAATAGGCCCTGATGCCCCCTCTAATAGGCTGTGAGCACGCGATTATCAACAGTTGGATTCCATATTCTGTGGGAAGTTTGTCTGTAAGTATTCGTTTGGCGGTAAATATTTTATCCAGTAATAAAAACTCACAAGCTATTAAAGAGTCAGTATAGAACTTTGGCATCGTCAGAATCTTAAGATTATTGCGCCCCAGAAGTGTATGGTAAATTGTAACTTGATGACGAGCCTTACAGAGCGAGATATCTAATCTGTATAAGACTCTAATTTAAGCAGTAAGCAAGAGCTTTGAAAGTTCATTCACAGACTTCATATTTTACCTGAGGTCACCTTTCAGTGCGGAATTAGAATCGAAGCCACAACACAAACAAAACCGGAGGGGTTGGGGAAAGAGATGTCAAAACAAATTATCATTTTTTTTCCCACACCATTTAGCTGTCATGCTACGCAAGACATGTTGGGATAAAATTTCAGTGGAAAAAAAAGACTTAATTTCGCTGTCTTATTTGAAGCGCGATGACAGGAATGGTCAGCATCTGACCCTTTTTCTTTCGATGGAAACGAGAAAAACTTTTTTTTGGAATGTCTCAGACTCGTACCTTGGGTTCCGGTTATTCGGAGCAATTTGGAAAACAGATGGCTTCAACGAGAAATTATCCTTCTATCGCAAGTATCAACGCCAGCACATTAGAGCAAGCAGCGAACAAAACGCAAAAGTTTCGTACGAAATTGAAAAGATCCTTTCTTGCGTAGTTATTCGTGCGAGATGTTTTTTCATCTTGCCGGAGAACGAGATGGGTTTGAGAATGACGTATGAGTCAATCAGTGAAGTTTTGGTCAAAGGATATAAGAGTGATGCAACTGCCACCAAAATTTAGGAATTGTGAATTTTTTGCGAATCTTTTCATTCACGAAAACAATTAAAATATTTGAATTTGCCTTAGTGCGACCCGGTCCTTATTATCAAATTGTTCTATATATTTGTTAGAGATATTTGTTAAATATATTTATTAGCATAAGTATATTTACTTGATGTATTTGTTCGATACATTTTGTTGCATCTTATCAGGAGCCCTTCTGTCCATTCCCATATACGTATTTTGATATTGTATTCAAATTCAATTTAAAAAAAACGATTTGCAAGAGAACCGGGTAATTTGGAGTTATCAGCTGAGTTGATTACGTAAATTGGCCACTGTAAAGAGTTTCAAAGCTGACGTTTCGAGCGTTAGTCCTTTGTCAGAGCGAATGGAGGAATTGTGGGTTGTGTGTGTGTGTTTATAGTAGTTGCCACCGAATGAAAAGCAAATGAGTATTAACACTAGTTTGGCTAGGGGGAGTAACGTTTCAGAGCTAGGTTCCATAACAGTGCGTTGATTAAAAAAATTGTTTGAGGGCCAGGAGACCTTCGTCATTGGGAATGACAGCATAAAAAGATGTCAAATCCTTAGTGAAAAAAAGTTTGTCTTGACCAGGAATATTAAATTGGAGTCGTGAAAAATTTCAAGTGCGTGTTGACTCAGTCTTTAATGTATGATGGTGAAGTTTTGACGATAGGAGCCATAATTTCGTCTAAAAAACAGAAAATAAGTTCTCCAGGTAGAGACGACGGGTCGACCTGGGTTGTTAGGTTTGTGGATTTTAGCTAAAAAGTAAACACACGAACCTTTTTCTAGTCGTCCGTTTACATTAAAACTCTTTAACTCCCAAGATCTCATTTGTAATTCTCCTTAATATCTCGCATACAGTTCTTGTGATGTTAGTTTGGAGAATTTGGTATTGGATCATCTTATAATCTCCTAACTGATATTTTTCTTCATTCTCACAACTTGTCTGCTTGATATTGTTTTGGTATTGTAAGGAGAAATTCTGTCTTGGTCGCTCATGGGAGTTAAAAGGTTAACCCTCTACACCCTAAAATCAGTATGCATATTCTCTATACTTTCTTTATACATTTCTTAGGGTTCTGGAAAGGAGAATTTGTATAACAATCAAAGCTTCTTTAGTTATTGATCATTTCTCTAATTCTCATGACCGTTAAGTTTTATTCACGGGTAATCTTGTAATCAAACGGCAATCTAAAATACATCTTGGTAAACAAAATGGGAAGAACTTTAACTGAAGAATATGGTACAACAACAAATACCACATCAACAACAGCAGCAATAACAAATCTCCTCTACCTAGAGGGCTACAGCCTTTGCCTCGCTTTCTAAGCCACACTGAACAGTTTCTGTGGTACTTCCTGTAATGCGTTCCTCTCCACACGATGTGGCGATATTCTCGTGAAACAAAGGGGTAATCGTTAAGCTGAATGAAATTCATCTCTGTTAAATTACGGAGATCGCTCGACCATCCAAGGGCTGAAATCCTTACCATAGTTGCTTCGTATTTGAGGTCGCTCTGGTCTTGTTCTAGGTCCTGGGTATCTGAAAGAAGTACTCGGTTTTCTCCACTACTCGATGGAAGGACGTGTTACATCAGCAAAGCATAAACTTTCGACACTAAGTCGGCTCTAATTCCGCCCGTCGATTTTGAACTAGATTTTAAAATCTCCCTGAGATCTTTTGCTTCGAGTTTCTGGATGTCATCTAATGACGAAATTTCCATATCATTGTATTAAAGATCCATTTTGAAGGGAGAAATCGCATTGAAAAGTGCATTAGAACGTGAAATGTCAGCAGATCAGCTGTTTTAAAAAACCGCCGGGTCAACCCCAGCCTCGTTGTCGTGTGTGCGCGATTACTAATTCAATGTGGCGCCGGGAACTGTATTGTGTGTGTGTGTGTGTGTGTGTGTGGATGGACCGAGGTAATGACTCTTTCGCGTAGACATAAAAGGTCAGCTGGGGTCGCAAATCGATATTTAAGCCACCAAATAAGCGACGGTCGACAGTGTACTCTGCACATACGATATGCAAAGTGCGTATTTTTGCTGTAGTGTTACATTCACTCGGATGATCTCATGACAGGTAGCGAAATTTTCTATTTCGTTCTACGCAAGGTAAACGATCCTAACCAGTAATTGAAGCCGAGGATATTAGCTTGTGTTTATTAAGTTACTACGCTTATGAAGTGTTAATTAAGCGTGTGAAACAGAGTGGACATCCTGGCATATCGAATACAACTGCAGGAAAGACTCAAAAGCTTTCGCAGGCGGCTGAATACGCTCTGTTTTGAACAACTGTTCACTTGCTTGGATATTGTAAGTTGCCCTTTCGACTAAAAATGTTTCGTTGATGAAATTTTTCTTCAGTCGCGATCATATTTAGGCATTCGTTTAATCAATCACTCTTATTTACATACCGTTACGAAATACCTAACAAGCTAGGACAAGCTAAGTTACATAAATTGAACGCCACTTTATCAAATGGCAGGCGGTCGTATGACTTCTGGTAAGACTTCTGATGTCGCAATTAGCCTTAATATGCACCGCAGAAAACAGGAAACGGGTCTTTATATTTGGAGATTTAAACTTGGATTGATTTCGGCTTTCTCCGTTTTTCCTTATGTTTATTTCTTTTCCTTTTTTCAAATTACTGTTATTATTATTATTGCGATTTTTTTATTTCAAGTTTTTATCAATGTTTTGATAAGGCTCGTCATATTACCACGATCGGTATATTATTTTTGTTGATCTTCTGTGGTGACTGATATTTTCCTCTCCATGCCATCAAGTCAGCTCATTTATCAAGCCTATCTTCTCATGGCTGGTAACTAGGTTACAAACCGACAAACCGGTCCTGAAAACAGCTTTGTCGAGAAACAGTGATACCGTCTTTGAAAACCAAATTGTCATTGGAAAAACATACTGTAAACGGATGTTACCACAGGCGGCCCAAGCTCCAGCTGTGAGATGATCATCTTACGCAATAACGGTCATGGCGGAATTATAAGAGTTTGTATGGGCATATTTACGACCGTTTGAAAACCTCGAAATGAACAAATCGCTAGAATGGGTTCTTTTCATCAAAGTAAGCAGTCAGATAACAAAATATTTACGACCGCCTCGGGAATAAAAAAAATACGTCAAATTCTCAACAGGAATAAAAAAAATACGTCAAATTCTCAAAGAAAATACCTCACCTCGCTTCCACAGCGTATTGCTTGTTATCTGACCGCTTGCTTTGATGAAAAGAGCCCATTTGAGCGAGTTGTTCATTTCGAGGTTTTCAACTTACATAAGAAAAGCGTTGAGCGTTTTTGGCAAAAGATGTTTTCTTCCCCCTCCACACTGATTGGCAGTTTTTACACTGACACCTTGTGATAAAAAAAATCAGTAAAGTAGCCATTTTTTTTCACGATGTTCAGTGAATAGAAGAAATATAGAGCTCAACTTGTAAGACTGGTTTCACCAAAAGGGACAGTTATCAGCTCTGTAACTGTCACAGACGTGAGAGATAACTCAAACTTAAGACTACTTTACTTTATTTACAATTCTACATGTGCGAATGCTACTTTATTGCTGCATCGTGTTTTAAAGTAAAAGCCGAGAAATCTTCAATCGTTTGCCAAATTTAACACAGGAAAACTTAAAACCGATTCAATCGCGTGTAAACGTGTATAATCCATCCAATTCAATCGAGGATACAAGTTTTTCTTTTCTTTACGACGTTATAACAACCTCTACAAGCGTGCATGTTTATATTTTCAGTCAGTGAAACCTTAGCTTCGGAAGGTGCGTGCGTGTGGCATAAAAACACTTCGCTCCCATGGTATTCAAGAGTCTGCACATTTGGTTTTCTTTACTTGATCGCTCCTAAATTTAATAAGCGACTGATTTTCAGATACTTTACTTACAATCGTAAATGCACTCACTATTCTCGGTTTCTTAATTGAGGCGGCCGCGGTGCACGGGCTCTTGATACTCTTCTGACTCTCGCGCTATGTTTTAGGTTACGTTCGTCCTGGCGGTTCAAATATCCAAGGCCTGATTCCAAAAACAGATTCATAAACCCTTTTATTATGTTCACCTTCCATCGAGGCTTCAAAATCCAAATAATCAGACCCCGAAATAGAACTGCTTTCACTCGAAGTACTATCCACCATATTTACTTTGCTTAATGTACATACGTGTGACGTGAAGGTCACATGATCAAAATGTGCGTTTACGGCGGATGACTCTCGTGAAGCAGCATTTACGAAGGTTTTCCCGGCGAAAAAAGGCACCAAGAGGCATACGAAACACCTTGTGTCTGTTTCAATGTCTTACCCGAGGCATTTAGACGGTATTCCGAAAAAGTGACCTGTTAGCCGTCGGTTATCTTTAACATGCGATCCTTTTGCTAAGAGAATTTTGTTTCAGACAAGTGGTAAAAAAACCTTCAGGTCTAATGGGGGTAGGTATGGGGCAGTTAGTGTTGTCCGAACCCTCCGGACCCTACCCTTGGATGCATGCACTGTCAAACAGAGCGATCCTTTACAGGAGAAGCCCATTCGGTCGATCCGGGTTAACGATTTATTACAACCACTACCGGCTTTAAACCTTTTCTGTATAATTTTTTTTTCGAATTGTTTTACCTGGTTTTAAAATATAACCCATCGCTAGTTATTATTTGATGTTTAAATGATTCTGTTTCCTTTTTTGCTTTCTTTTCCGCTTTAGACAAGAAACTAACGTCAAACGAGGACACTGAGAAACTGGCTACCGCAAAAGAATTGTAGCCGTTGAGGAAAGACTTATCGAAGACTGTTCACCCGATTTCTGAAAATCACTGAGCTTATCTATCTAACTGACTCTAGGGAATAATCTCATCTGCGTGTAACGGCTAGCCATCCTCAATATGTGCTTTAAACTATCTCGTTTGATGGATTGTTCCGTCGTAATGCTCGTGGGTTGTGCACTTTTGCTATATTTAAAATCAGCCCAAGTTACTGAGGACATTTGTTGGAAATTTCTATCACATTGTAACCTACGTGCTTTTTCTAATGAGCACCAAATAACAGAGGAGAGTACACCAAAGACGGAAGGAAAAAGCCATTTAGGTATAAAGAATAACTTGAACAGACCTTTGAAAGTTAATGTGACGAACTTAGTTCTTAAAGAACTCCAAGGAGGATTCTTTGCCGCAGTCCGTGAAGGCAAACAAAGAGACTCATCTTTGGATACTTCTGTCTGCGTTTCGGAGCCAACAGTCTTAGAGTGTTTAGAGGTTGGATTTGCTGCCTTGCTTTTGGCCACCTTAGATCATGTGTCGTACTGTCGCATGTTGGGAATAGATAAGGTGACCATTCACTGGAAGAACTGTCAGTCGTGCTGTGCAAAGGATCCTCAGGAAAATTCCTGGTCAGCTTATTTCGAGCCTTTAAACACTGGAGCTGAGCTAAACGCCAAGAAGGTTCTTTGTTTAGGAGGAATTATCGTAGGAAACGTCCTTGTACAGGAATCTGCTAAGTTACCTTATTTCAATCAAGAAAAGAAGTCTCAAAGTAATGGAATCTTGAGAAGTTCTCTATTAGAGGTTGGATTTAGAAAACGTCAAAGTTTGCCTGGTTACGAGGAAGGTGCCGTTATAACAGCAGAATTAAGGAAATGGGTCCATGGTCTGATAGGCGAATATGTTCGACCTCAGGAAAGTATTCAGTCTCGTGTAAACCAGTTTTACATGGAATACATGAACGGATATAACATGCTAGGTGTCCACGTGCGCGGAACCGACCACATGCTAGAGATGGAAGAAAAGAAATTACCTGCAATGGAGAAGTGGATTCAAGATGCAGAAGCAGTATTCAAAACCCTTGAACAGCCTAAGAAAATATTCTTGGCCAGTGACAATAATGAGATTGTTCGCCGATTTGTAGAATATTTTGAAAAGGAAAAGGTATGGTTATTACTTTCTGATATAATGGTTCACTTATAATTATCGATGATAAATTGTAGTTTGGTTTGACGCCATCTATATATTAGCGTGATATGGCAAAATTCACCGTTTACTTATTTCTAAGTCAAATTGGAGTGAGGAGTATTGGTTTTTGTATCGCTTACGGATCAATATCAGTTTCTGGGAAACTGCCCACCTGCCCCTCCCCTAACCCAACAACAGTCTATTGATAACAAGTTAGGGTTAATGTTGGGTTAGGGGAGGGGTAAGTGGGCAGTTGCTGATATTGATCCTCGCTTTCTTTCCTTCCCTTTCGATCTCTTTCCCGCTTTCTTTCCTTTTCCTTTCCTTCTTCCTTTCTCTTTTTCCCTCTTTCCTTTTGTTTTCTCTCCTTCCCTCCTTCCTTCCCCCTTAAATTCCTTTCTTTCTCTTTCTTTTTTTCTTTCCTTCGGTCCTTCCTAAATTCCCTCTCTCTCTCTTTCTTTCCTTTTTCCCTTCCTTCCTTCTCTCTTTTCTCCTTTATTCATTTCCTTTCTTTTCTTTGTTTCTCTTATCTTATTTTTTTAAGAGCACGACAAAATTATATAGGGTACCTTGTGCATACCAATACTTTGCTCACTCGGAACAGCTATTCCACTCTATTCCGCTGTTACGCGCAATCAAAAAAGCAAGTTTCTGCAGAGATAGATGAGTCACTATTAAACCTTGTAATACTAAAGCCTGGTTACATTCTTTTACAATTCAGGTTGTATACACCGCAGCTGTGAGAGCAGCCGAGTACCAGTCTACTAGACCAATCAACGGTCAAGTAAACGGCATCGATGCAATTGAAAGTGGGTCCCAGGTTCTCATTGATATCTTACTCCTTGCCAAATGCGGACATTTTCTTCATGCAGAGTCAAGTGTGGCGACTTTGGCGTCTTTTTTCAACCCACACATGGAACTACACTTTTTGGGAAACGTTGGAGATAACGGAACATTCAAAGCGGTAAGTAAGCAAAATTCTCGGAGAGGACTATTCCGTCGATACTTGAAGTTTCTTCAATTTTTTGAAGCTATCTATTAGCTATTACGTTCAGATAGTTACAAACTACGAGAGACGCTTTTGATAGGTCTTTCGCTCGCCGGACTCTGTTCAGCGAGCTGCGTCTCTTTGGCTGACCGCCTCGTGGGCTTCTTGCGGAGTCTTCGATAGTCAACCTGGCTTGCTTCGTTTTTCGGTTTAGTTTGCAGGTGATTTGTTATTTTCATCAAGTAATATGGGATGCTTATCTCAACTTATTCTTATCGCTAACTAGTTTTGAGTCATCTTCGCAATTGTCGCAATTTGTCGCATCAAACTTTGATAAACGACCATTGCCTGAGGGCAGGCGAAGGGGGGACGGGGTTGAGGGGGGGGGGGGGGGCGGAAAAGAATTTTTGTGGATCGCATGGTTCAATGGGAGTATTATAGCGGTTCCTATTGAAAATTAACTGCCAATCAGAGGGATCATCAGAATATTAAAGAAACCTGTTGAGAAATCAGGTAAGTTTTGTCGTGACATAATCAACCCCCTACCACCCCTCCCCCCCCCACCCACCTACCCATGGCTGGTACCTGAAGAACAAGAAAGGACAATGTAACAAGCGTAAAATTTCGTCTGGCTATACGTTTTATCATTCAGCTGATTTCCAGCTTTATCTGTCTGGCGACGTCTATTAGCTGGGTAAGCGATGAGTTCAAACCTCTTAGGACTTGTTGTTGTTTTTTTTCTTTAGGGAAAGAGTAATTTAACAAAAGCCCCTGATCCTAAAACAAACTTTGAAGATGAAAGGGAATGGGAAAGCGGCTGGGAAGAACAGATAGAGAGTCTTGCCTGGTGCTTCCAAACGAACAGTCCTTCCAGCGCATGCCCAAACATGGCTGCGGGCCAACTTATTGACTCCAAGGAAGTCAGAACGTACTTTTCACAGTGAAATAAACGGTTATTTAAACAGCAGTGGTCATAATATAAATTTAGACTCACCTTGCCCCACTTACGAGGTAAACGGAATATGTTGCTCCACCCTTGGAGCATGTCAATTTCGCAAGAAACTGAATTCGGCTGACAGCACGCTACTTTGATTTCGCCGAAAACAATCCTTTGTAATTCCCTTTAATTTTTGGACGAGTTTTAATTCGAGTGCTTATCTGCTTTATTTATTTTTCAAGATCCCTTTCAATTTGAAGGATCTCGTACGTGCCAAAGAAGGATTCTACGTTTCGTGACACCTTTTAACTTAGGCATTTCCTGTTACACCTCACTTAACTACTTCGTCTCTCTAATGATCTTCATTACCACTAATTCGCCGGCTTTTTTCCGTTTGTGGAGTACCAAGTTGTTATTTCGTACTGGAAGAGGAAAAGTTACGTTAAGGGAAAACACCAAACCACAAAGAAAGTATAAGTTCCTCTAAAAAAAATGAATAACGAAAAGGAATCCCGTCATCATGTATTTTGGCCAGTATTATATCAAAAGTTAGCAAATACGACTTCAGCTTTAACGTTTCAACGTTATAAAAACCTTTAACTTTCCATGACTGACCAAAATAGAATTTCTCCTTACACCATGAAGACAATGTCAAGTGGACAAGTGATGAGAATAAATAATATCGTTATTTACCTACACTAAAAGAGTAGAAATAACGTGCACATCGAATACAAACATCTTGCGATATGGGATAATTGAATATCTTTTATTGTAAAAAATAAATAAATAAATAAAATTTAAAAAAAAAACAGTCGGCTGCGCTGGCTACGTTTCTCTATCAGCTTCACTTTTCCCACTTCTTAAGAAATGCGCTTTTTGTATTGGTGCTGACGTTTTCGCTGATTGGGGGGTTGTACCAGAGTATGTTGTTCCGTTGTCTGTTTTTCCGTTTGGCGAAAAAAAAGAACGGAACAACACACTCTGGTACAACCCCCCACTCAGCAAAATCGTACTCCTCGACCAAGTAGACAAGCACTTCCCGAAAGACCGCAATCTAGAAAAATATTAAATCGTAACATAATCAAAATCAATTACGGCTGTATGAATGACATTAAAAAGGATCCATTTAAATTCATTCAAACACATCCATGAGACCGCAGATAACACCAGCACAAAAACACAAAAACTTGCAACTGCCGACAGAAGAATATATGTTTGTGTGTATATATATATATATATATATATATATACACACAAATCAATTAATTAGGAGATTATTTGTTGATCTGATACCAAACTTTCCCAACCAATATCAAAAGAATTAATTGGCAGACAGTAAAGAGAATTACTAATGAGATCTTGGAAGTACTAGTAAGGCGTTAGCTCAGCGCAAAGTCGAGCTAACCATTTTTAACGTGAATGAATATACATACGCTTTGTTGATATGTCTATGATGGGTATTTAATTTTGAGGGCGCAAATACTTTCGTATGACGCGAATGAATATGAATGAAACGCAACGCAGCATAACTACCAGCTCTCTACTAATAAAGCAATTGCAACGACATACCATGCAACACCCCACACAATAGGTTACGTAACCCATGATGAATTCATTGAACTAGTCATTGACGTCCAACCACTCAACCGAGCGAGAAATAATGACTGATTTTTAACTGATGTTTAACGATGCCACAATCGCGACTTGACGGTTAAGGATGACCTTGGAGTAAACTCATATTGGAAGCAAGATTTCTCAAAATAACTATCTCTATTAATCCGCTACGACCTTATCAGTTGTTCGAACAACTTTGAAATACGTGACTCGAAATTGCAACTTGAAATTTCAAAGTAATTTCAGAAGCTAATGCCTTACATAGTCGGTCCTTGTCCCACTCCTGTGACAAAAAGAATCACAGTTTCTTTAATGCATCGGTAATGTTATTAAATTTGGCACGAAAATATACAAAAACGTTTCAGCGACTATGAAGGCTTCCGACCTCCAGGTGAGCGACTTTCGACAACATATGGCTTCCGACCGTTCCGGAATGTAAAGTTAATATTTTTTCTATGAAACATGGGTATTTTAATGGTGTTTAGTGTATCGATACTGTAATATGCTTTCTAAGGTAAAAGTTAAAATCCAGCAAGTTGCTAGCTAGAATATCGAGGTTGTAAAATTGTTCAAACATCACGTAATGCAGAAAGTAGCGTGTCGAGCGGAAATCGGGGAGGTCTATTCAAACGCTGTTTTTTGATCTGATGAGCTAGAGAAATTAAGGTATCAATTATCAGCGCCAAATTACTAATTGCTTTAGAACTTAGTTACCAAGAGCTCTATCATTTGATCCTAGATTCTCACTATTTGTAGCGTCTTCTCTCAAGTTAAAGGAGATTTTACGCTCTGAAAGAAATCGCTCCGCCGTTTCATAAAAAAGCTCATCTCAGCGTCTTTATTTCAGCTCAGTGTTTTTTATTTTCACGTTGAGAAATTGGCTTCTTCCAAAATTAACCGGATTTGGATGGTGTATGGTACGGAAGTAATTTTTGCTGAGCCAAGGGAAAAGTATGAACATTTTTAGGTAGAAAGTTATTTTGGAAAGAGTAAACAAACTGAAGGTACATACTTAGTATGCGGGAAATGTTTACGTAACTCAGAGTGATGCACAAGTGAAGCGAGGAATGGTGACGTTGATCAAATATTGACAGCTTGCTAACTGCCATCTTTATTAGCTAGAAACCGACACTCTATCTTCCTACAGATAATGCGTTAAAACCCGAGCTAACAAGTTGTTTGAGCTATTTACAGAGGCAATGAAGACTATACAAGAGTGTTAGATATAATCTCTAACACAATATCACACGCGTACAAGGATTGAATGGCAGACAGTAAAGAGAATTACAAATGAGATCTTGAAAGTACTAGTGAAGGCGTTAGCTCGTCGCAAGGTCGAGCTAACCATTTTCAACGTGAACGAAATAAAACTTGGTATAATTCTGTACAGTGTGATTAAACACAAACGAGACAAAACTGTCGTAAAAGGAAGTAAGTTTCTAAATAAACTATGATGCTGCGCCAGTAGGGGGGTATCACGAGATAATTTAATTGGTTTTATCAACTGAGTTTACAATGTAAATGAGCTGACGTGAAGAGATTCTTAAACAACCGGGAGAAGGCCAATTTGACGGGTGGAAATGACGAATCTGAAGCGTTAGAGCTATAGCTTTTCAAGTTCCGTAGAACTTCCTTTGAACGTGGCAAGATTATTCCTCGCCAATTTTGAACCAGTCTCATTCATATGAGATCATATGATCATATCATATATACGAATATAAAACATTTATCATGTAAGAAGCATGCATAGTTGGGGTGTTTCAACTTGAGCCGTGTGCGACCCTCTTTATTATGTCTCGCAAGCAAAATTACAGAAACTCTGAAAGGCTTCAAATACAACAAGCAAAACAACTAATAATGCAGTAAACGACCTAACTCGTGCATATTCTTTGTAAATATGTTTATGAAAAACTGACAGAAAAATTACATAAACTCTGAAAGGCTCAAAATACAGCAAGCAAACGACTGAAAATACAATAAACGCACTGACTCTTATGCATACTCTTTGTAAATATGTCTATGAAAAATTGACAGCCCTCACTCGTTGGGTATTTAATTTTTAGGGCGTAAAGACGTTCGCATGTTCGTATCCCACTCCCGAGACAAAAGGAATAACAGTTTCTTTAATGCATCGGTTACGCAACCAAATTTGGCGAGAAAATATATATTGACGTTTCAGTGACTATAAAGGCCTCCGACCATCTGGTAAGCGACTTTCGACAACATACGGCTTCCGATCGTTCCGAAGCGAAATATTAATATTTTTGCCACGAAACCATGGGCAATATCTACTGAAAGTATTTTGACGGTGTTTGCTGTATCGATATTGTAATATGCTTCCTTAATTAAGGTAAAAGATAAAATCCAGCAAGTTCTTAGCTAGATATCGAGGTTATAAAAATGTGCAAATATCACGTAATGCTGAAAGTAGCGTGTCGAGCGGAAATCAGGGAGGTCTATTCAAACGCTTTTCTTTTTTATTTGATTAGCAACATAAATTAAAGTATCAATTATCAGCGTCAAATTATTAATTGTTTCACATAGAACTTAGTTACCAAAAGATCTATTACTTGATCCTAGATTCTCCAATCTGCAGTTCATTTTTAATGTTCCATTTAAGCTTTTAGCACAATTTTTCCGCTCTGGTTTATTATTACCACCAAGTGTCATCCACTTTTATCGAATTATCCCAAGTCACTATTTCTCGCGTCTTCTCTCAAGTTGAAGGAGATTTTACGCTCTGAAACAAATCGCCCCGCCGTTTCCTGAAAAAGCGCATCTCAGCGTTATTATACCAGTTGTTTTTATTTTCATGTTGAGGAATTGGCTTCTTTTTTTTGCCAGGCGGAAGTTGCGTCAGAATTACTTGGGAATGGCAAATTTAAAATTTTCATTTTCAGTCTCGTAAACTGTTACACAAAAAAACAAGAACTATGCAGAATCAAATAAGGCTGACGCATAATAATTTTTAGTCAATATTAAAGGATTTGTCTGAACAAGTTGTTTTTAAGTTTGCGCTAATGACAGCGTCAACCAATCTCGACATGAAATCGATTTGCATTTAAACCAGCATCGTTATTATTGGCACTCAATGACCTTTGGCTAGTAGGGAAATACCGGAACCTTTAATTAGCTGTTTACGGTTGTACGAGGCGAACGAAATATGACGCCACTCTAAAATGTGGGTCACACACAGGGTTCAGTGACAATCGTTATGTTTATCTGCTCTGATATTTGCTTATATGTAGCGTTAAATAACACACTTTGTCAGTTCAAAAACGTCTGTTGATTTATTTTTGGTAGATTAGAAAACCAATTGTATCAGCAGGGTTTATTGTCTCAACCCAGGATGTTAGTTTGCTCCGGAACTGGCATTCCGCATTATTTTTCCGTTTACAAGCCGTTATCGGGTTATTCCGGTTTTTATAAATTATGTCATTACGTCTAAAGCGCTATATAAACCCCAACTAGAGCACTTCAACAGCTCCAGTTGAATCAAAGTTTAAACCACTCAGGTCCGAAAAACGCCTCAGACCGCTTGAAGAAACACTTGAACGATGCAAATATTGAAAAAGAATAAGAAATCCGCCAAGCGTGGAGCACTTATCCTACACCAATTTGCTCCGACAGAGTTATCAGTTAGTGGTTCACCGCCTTGTCTGAAGTTGGAAACTTTCCTTCGTATGACAAAGATCTCGTACCAGAATGACTATCGCTTGAAGTTTTCCAAGAAGGGAAAAATGCCGTGGATTGAGTTTAATGGGCAAGAAATCGCTGATTCCAATTTTTGTATCCAGTTCCTGAAAAGGGAATTTAAAGTGGACATTGATTCTCATTTGAACAGCACGGAAAAAGCCATCTCTCATAGTGTTCGGACCATGCTAGAGGAAAACACTTATTGGTAAGTATTCTCAGTTAGTTCCCATGAAGATTTGAACCAGAGATCTTCGGTTTTGTGCCCTTCCGTGTTCTAGCACTGCGCTATAACGAACTCTACTATGCAAAGTAGCTGGCGCCTTTACTTAAAAAAAGGAAAAAATTTCCCCACCCCACCCAAGCCAATAAATAATGACTTGTTCTTAAGAGCCGTTACAAACATAAGAATCATGTGGTGGTTCAATCTCCTTAAAATTTCCTCTTTTCCAATCCTTTAACAGGGCTCTTGTTTACTGCCGTTGGCTGTCTGCATTTGGAGCAGAATATCGAAGGAGGGTGTTCACGAAAACGTTTGGCCATCTCGTCTTCCCCCTTAAACATCTGATAGCTCGCCATATAACGAAGAGAATCAAACGGGATCTATGGGGACATGGCATGGGTCGACACTCGGAACAAGAACTGTATGGAATCGCGCAGAGAGATTTACAGGCAGTCTCGGAAATTTTAGGCCAGAAGAAATTTCTCTTTGGAGACAAACCTTGCCTTGCAGATGTAGCACTGTTTGCCTTCGTTGCTGCATCCACCTGGGACCTTCCAGAAAGTCCGTTTGACGAACTTATCAAGACAAAAGCACAGAACCTTCATACGCATGCTCAGAGGATGAAAGAGCTCTATTACCCAGACTGGGATGAAATCACCTCGAGAAATGCGACATCTAGCTAAGAGCTCTGTCAGACTAAATGTCATCCACTGATAACGAAAGGAAGAAAAAAAAACTGCCAAAAATTTCTCTCGAGAAAAGCTTAACGGTCTGCAGTTCCAATTGACGTCATCAGATTTTACCGATTAAAATCTTAGACAAGTTATCAACGTGTAAGTACCTGTTTATAAATTTGTAAATACTTATTTAAATCTTGGTTATAGCCTATCCTTGCGATATAGTGCTCGATGTGTTTGCAGAGCGTGGTATATCTGAAGGTTGAACTAGTCAATAAGACATGATTTTTTCTGTGACTCTGAGTTTCACGCTTACGCGATCATCAGACAGATTTTAATGAAGAGTATACCTCACTTAGTTTAAATATATACAGTGGTTGGTCAATTAGTGGATCTATTGTAATCTGAGGTCAATGTCCATTGGGAAGTATTTGTTCTCATGGCGGCATTTAGAAATTAATTCAGTTCTTTTGTGGAGGTTACTTGCTTTGTCGGCTTTAATGGTGTGGAGTTTTTCAGTTAGGCAAAGGTCGCATCGTTTGGAAATATTGTTGTAGGCGCTTCAGTGCTAAAGAGAGGATAGACCAGCTTATTTTGTCGTTTCCCTTGTTGTCCTTGAGTTTCCAGATGTGTTTTGCTAGTTCGGTCTAATGATTGCGTAAGCGTGAAACTCAGAGTCACAGAAAAAGTTATGTCTTATTGATTAGCTCAACTTCCAGATATAAATTACTTAGTTTTGATTAATTTAATTACCATTCAATGTTGTAAATATAACTGATCAATTTATTCATTCAGGAACTTTTATAAAGTGGTTATGATAATTACTTTAAATACTGGAAGTATCTCATGTTTTATTTGTACTATACGTCTGAAATTATAGAAACATTTAACTAGCTTTGAACCAGTAGTATGTACATTTTTTAAAGTCAAAGAAAGAAGAATCTTAGTAATAGCAGTTCGTTTCTTTAGTTACAGGCACATTAACCTAAAATCAAGGCTTTTTCTAGAAGGTTATTGTGCGTTGTGCTGATGTCGGATAACAATTAAGGCCTTTGCAATAGTTGAACAATTTATTGATGTCTTTCTCGTAGGAAAAAAAGAAAATTCATTTTTGAAATATTGATAAGTTGAAGTATTGTTAGTTATAGGAAAATATCAAGCCACTCTAATTTAATTATTAATAATGTATCATTTATGTACTCGTTCATTTATTTTATTAGTTAGTCATTCATTAAATCAATCAGTATTTATCTTCGGTAACCGTTTTAGAGAGGTTTGAATAAAAGATTCAAATAAGGATGAGTGTAGCGCCGAAACTGAGTATCCTGGCCAGTGAAGAAATTATTTGCTATTTATTGTTTCACTGCTGTCATTATTCCAAATAAGGCCATGAAAACGCGCAGAATATGCCACGGTATTACCCTGTAGAACAGGATAAAACTTGACTGAATACGGCGCAACAAAATGGCCATACCGTGAACGATACAAACATTTATTATTTTTTTCCCGTTTTTTGGGCTTGACCGTCAAAGTAACGAACTTTTAAGCGTGGCGGATTTTTTTGTTGGTCACTGAAATATCACTTAAATGGTTTCGTTCGTGTTGTTTTCGTCTTTCGCGTACTCCACACGATGCACAGATAAGGCCGTAGGATGTCGTGTTTCTAAACTAAAAATTTAAAAAAAAAGGCTTCAAACTGAAATAATAATGGAATAAGAGAGCCCTAATTCAATGGTTTAATCATTGCTCATGGTTTCCTCGCCCGTTCTGGGCTCGAAAAATAATATGCAACTCGAAAAATGTTTACGCGTATTTATAGGTTACTTCAAGGTTGGTGAGCGCGTACGATTTTTATTCACAAGTTGCGTAAACGAGTTTGCAACTTGCAAAATGTTTAGGCGTATTTATAGGTTATTGCACGGTTGGTGAGCGCGTACGGTTTTTATTCACAACGAGTGAATAAAAATCGTACAAGCGAACTAACCGTGAAACAACTTATTTATTATATACATGCCGAGATTCATAGGCGAACAGAACTCACAGATAAACATATCTTTATTTTCTTTCAAAAGAAAACAAGGCGCGGTCAAGCCGCCTCACAGTGAGAGTTACACTGAAATGGCTTCCTTGTAAAATATTTTACATTTACGTTATCAAACAAAAATTCCGTTAAAGGCAGAACTAGTTAGAATAAAATAAGACATCCTGAAAATATGTCGAAATAGTTCTACGAACCGTTATAAGGAACTGGCTGAGAAACTTGTTCAGCTCTTGAGGAGTCAATTCGTCCATTTGTCTCGTCTCGCCTTATAAAAGAAACAAATTCGTGGAACAGAGCAACATCGTGTTTGGTATTTTTCTTGGTGTTTTCATTTTCCTGTCAGTCTCTGAACTCTTCTACTGATGAATCTAGGCTCTGAAAACGGTTAGTCTGATTTGAAGCCATCTTTCTAAAGAAAAATGCGCCTAAGCACCGAGAAATGTGCTATTTGTCAGTCAAGACAAGCGGCGAGCGGCGAGCGAGCGACACAGTTTTGTTCACTTGTGAAAATAATGATATAGCCAATCAGAGCGTCGATACGTCGTTTTTCACTAGTGGAAAAAATCGTATGACCTGGCTTCTATAGCGCGAAGGGACTATTTTTATCTCGATGCTTTTTACCGCGTAAATCTCCGTTTGTTAATAATAATATATAATATATAACAATCGAGTAAGATGTTCGTATCGTAAAAATGAACGTTCAGGCCATGTATGTCGATTTGTATCAAGGAAACCGACAAATTATTTAACAACTATTAATTTTTGATTATTCAAAATAAATATTTGTTAAGCTTTTAACATTTTTGTCGTGGTTTTGTTTGTAAACTAGAAATGGTGAAAAGGTTTCATGGCAAGCAGGACATCTTTACCGATGTCATTTCAAGAAAGTTCATGTCACAATTAGCAATTTTTAAATTTTTTTTTTACTTATATGCACAAGGTAAATAATAGTAATAAGACTAATGTTAACAGAAATGGTATACAGTTGACCTCTTCCGCGTAAGAAGCATGAGCTCTGCATTTGATTTGTTTTAACAAGAAGAGATTAGTATAGAACACTGAAAAGAGTTTGGGGAAAGCTTTAAAACGCTAACAACACTAACGACTGAAAACTACTTCAAAGACCCTTGTAGAAGTGGAACAAAACAAACTAACGAGCGAAAATATTGGACACGATGAACCTGATCACTTCTTTGAGCGAAATAGCCCGCAAACTTGACATCTGATGACACAAGAGCAAAACACTACAGGGCGCACAAAAATTCCAGCTGCCGTGATAGACACTCGATGACATGAGAGGCATCAACGCTGGAAAAGAAATGAAACGCATTTCACCATCATCACCGCCCAAAAACGTGCTACCCACATTAACAAGTTAACAAGTTACTCGGGTTGATTTAAGAAGTGAAAAAAAAAGGAACAAAACTAAGCCTTCTGTCTTTTCTTCTCCGTCCTTCTTCTTATTCTTCATCTTCGCTCGATTCTATCACGAGCGGAAATTATTGATACCGAGAGTGGTCTTACTGTCCGATGCCAGCATCGTAGGTTTCTGATACAACCGTTTACACGCACCCTCCGTCATATGATTAATAGCACTTATGATCGAAGACTCTTTTGGTGCCTTTTTTCTTCGCAGGATTATCACAGGGAATCGGACAATAGTCATTCAATGCAAAGGAAAAGCGGGGGAGGGGGGTGGGGTGGAGGTTGGAAGGGGGGGAGGGTTAATCGAGGTATTCCTGAATTCCTCCTTCTCTACCTATCTTAAAGTCATTATCATGCTTACCAAGAGTAGTGAGATACAAGGGTAGCGCCATGGCACAGGACCGACAGTAAGCCACATCATATTTTAGCCATTGCGTTAGGCTGGAGAGGCCCTTACTGATTATCTCTACCTGTTCAAGTCTTAAGCGCGTTTCTGCTGAAAAAGCACGCAGATCAACTCGCACCGCATGTTGTCTGGCATTTTAATCATTCTCAGACGCAATCGAGGAGATAACATTCAGTGATTCCTCTCCAAATACACTGATGTTGATAGTGAAATCTTATACGTACACAAACACAACCTGATGACCGTTTCCCATAACCCTGGGCCCCCACAAAGACATTTAAATCCAATATTTGCTTCTACAAAGTGGAAAAACTGCAGATTCAAACGAAGCAATAAGCCTTCAAAGGTAATTTTTTAAGTTTAACATGTTTGTCCTCCTTGTTGCATAGATGTAGGTCTCGAACTAAATCAATTTCAAGACGATTATTTTCCATATCGGTCACGTGCCATCGGGAAATGACAATTATCAAGTGGAAAGGTTTCGATAGCTCAACCCATGTCATTAACTGTCTAATCCTTTGGCAAGGTAATGAAGTAAAGTGCAGCTGACACAATATGTTGTCCCTTAAGGAAGAAGGTGCCTTAAAGCACGCAAATATAGCTTAGCCTCGGAGGAAATCTTTAGACCGATTTTACTACCCTTGGGAGTGTGGTAACAACAATATATGTGAGCATAAACATTTATAAACAGTGTCACAAGGGTTGATAAAAAATATGGCCTTGGACAGAAAAGGTGCCGACATGGTCCGTAAGAAAATAGCTACTTTCAAGAGTAAGATACAGGAGGCGGGTAAAAGGACTGAAAAAGCGAAAGAAAGTCTTCAACTTGTACAAGAAAGCTTTGATAGCACCAGGAGATCGAAGGCAAGAGTGGAAGCGCTAATTTCGAAAAAGGAGTCGCAACTAGAAAAAGTCGAATCTCTCGTCGATGGTGTACAAAGAAAATGGGATGCCTTAAATAGATTCCTCGAAGAAATAACCAGCACAGGAGCTGAATTAAGGATGGAGAATCATAGCAGTAAATATGTCAGCGAAATCGATACCACCATTGCGTCAATTAATGAGAGAACTAAAATCGCTCAGAGGAAGTGTTTAGCGTGCGCTAACAGAGAACACGAATTGCGCTTGCAAACGGAGGCGTCTCGAGAACGCTGTATCCGATTGGAAACCACTGCAATGTCACTACAGGAAGAATTAGCGGCTTTGAGAGAACGTGTTGAAGTCTTGGAGCAATCAAGAAAACTACGGGAAACACGGAAGCTTCAAACGGAACATTTAGAGAGTAAAGTGCAACACGCCATTGCACGAGCTCAAGAAAACGAAAACTTGGAATCTGAACTCGAGAATCGAATAATCGAGTTAGAAGATCAAATCGAAATGTATACCATGAAAAAGAAGCGAACTTCAAGTATCCTGGAACAAACAAACGGTGAAAAGTCGATCGAACCCTGGACAGTGACACTATGGCTTCGAAGATCTAGACTTGTTAACGGTGCCCCGTCTTCAGGTCCTGTTCCACCTACTTCAACAGAATAAACTATACAGCACGCAAAAATCTCGTAATCTCACAAAGAATCCGTAATACCAACTTCTGCGGGAAAGGAGATTAGCGCGCAGAGCGACATCAAGACTTCAATTTTTCATTTTTACGATCATTCAAGTACAGCCTTTAAATTAGTGTCTCGTCAAAATATTCCGCAAGACTGCCCAAAACAACCACCTTAATTTGATATTAAAATTCACGTTTCCTCGAGCGTTGTTTTGTGTTTATCGAAATCGGATTTTTAACAAAAAAAATTCAAATTAAGGGTAATTATCCCAGCGTCAAAGTCGTCTGAGTGGGATATTTTTAGTTTGTTTTAGTCTTGATATCGTGAACTCGATGACCCGGCAATCTTTTGAAATTCTTTTATCCGAGATAGAAACGCAACACATTAGAGTATTACTACAACCACAACACGCCTCCGGAACAAATACTCAGCCGGGCAAGAATAACAAAGACATGCTCGGTTTAAGAGAGTTACAAGTTACAAAGAAAACACGCTTTCCATTGTTGCAAATTCCTGGCTAAAGAGTTGAAGTGTAACATTGTATTTCAAGTTCAAATTTCAAGTGTGTCTACCTTCTGTATTTCAAATCAATTTATGCTTAATCGTTTCCTGCTTTTTCAAAATCAATTGTAATGGGCTGAGCCGTAAAAAACAAGTCAATTATCAGAGAGACAAAGAGCTCAAAGCGATAGAGAATAAAAGCTGGCAGTAATCCATATCATGGAGCTTGCATCTATTTTGTCAATAGCTGTAGTTGTTACTAAAATTGAGTTACATAGAAAAGTCGGTTCCAATCCTTTTCCAATGCACAGTTTGATCTGGTTCAAACTGCTTCGGACAACCAACTGGAAGAAGTCATTTTTGTGTGGTCCATCTGCCTCTAATGTCGCCTCTGTTGGAAACTTGACCTGAAAGGTCTACTTCGTGACGAAAGCGTGGGTTGCTGAACCCAACAGTACAGCAGGGATGCTGTGAAATGAAGATCTGGGAAACAACCGGCAAGACATGTTCACACGGACTAAGATAACAGAACGCATTTGAACTGAGTGTCGGCGAAATAATTCCAAAGTAATGACAACAGTCAATCAAAACCGTCGAAGAAAAATAACAAGTCCACCAATGCTAAAAAAAAAAAAAAAAAAAAAATTGACAAAGGCGCAGGACGGGATCTTGATTAGTTTTATTTTTGGACCAACGACAAAGTGCACGCAGTCACGGATTACCATCGACAATCGATTGAAAATTACGTGCTTGTCTAAGCATTCTGTCCTTTCTTATCTTCAAAAGTGATTACCATTCGATGGAGTAAGATTTGACGACTTGATCTACGATAGGGTAATTTCTTGCTGTAGCACTACATTCTCTTAACTAATTTGGAAAGAAATTCATGACAGGCAAGAAGAGAGAATCAATTATCAGATCTTAAGTACAGGGTGGACTCCAAAAGTTGATTTAGAAGTCCATATAGCATTCAAGCCAATCGAAGCATCATCGCGCGTTTATCGTTTAGTTTGACAACCTGAGAACAAAAAAGTTATCAGTCAGGGTGTAAGAGCTTTGAACAAGACTTGTTCCAAACCTTGTAATTATAGAGGTTTACAGGTACAAGGCGATTTCTTTAAAAAAATGTTTTTGTTTTTTTCTTCGGTTGTTTGGTCGTTGCTTTTTTGTTGTTATTGCCTTTTTGGGGTGTTAGTTTCGTTGCAATTTTTTTTTTATAAGAGACTGATGGGAAATTTAAAAGATCGATGTCATTAACACAGCATGCATTTGCTCATTTTCCCCTGGAATCAGTATCCATGGAGAACTCATTGGAATGAAACTTGATCTGAAGTTTTTTTTTTTCAATTTTTAAGATTTGCAACAGATAAAAGGACGGGATAGATATCTTGCAATATACAAGAATCGAACCTCTGGAAGTCGACTTTCAACACCAGTAGATGAAACCGTTCGTAAGACGAGAATGCGTCTAGCGGCTTCCCGTCATCGGAGTTCTTCCAAACACGATCACATAACGGTGCGTCACGTGAAATGATGTACATCATGACATCGAGGCATGGTGTGCTTCGATGTCATAATGTACATTATTTCAAAGGTCACGTGCTTTGCTGGCTGAAGTAATTATCCCTAAAGTTATCGCACGATTCCAAGAACTTTTGATGTACCACGGACATATTTGGGCCTCCCACCTGCAATAAAGGGTACTTATGTTCTAGTTACTTTTCTTCAACAAACTTAAATTTTCAGAAGTTTGTGTGACAAGCAAGTGAGTTGTCAGTGAATGTTTTCTCTTTTTAATTTTTTTTTTAAATCATGCATTTGGCACAAGTCGAACAACCGTTACAGCAAGGTGTCTCTCTCCACCCAAGAGCATTAACACCGAAAACCTCACGAAATGTAGTGGGGTGGGGGGGGGGGGGGTGACACCTGCGATAGATTGACATCACATTCAGAGGAAGTAGCAACACTGCTGCAACTTCTACGACTGATTGGCTTCCAATTTCTCCCAACGATATCTTCCCTAAATCACAGGAGAAATGATCACCAACTAACGAAGCTCTTGGTTATCAAACAAATTCTCCTTATCAGCAATTTAGGAAATTTACAGAGATCGGTATGGAGAATAAGCATACTGATGTTGAGGCGTAAATGGTTAAGGGTATGGAAACCAGTCTAATCTGCGACTGTGATGGGTCACCACAATTTCTTCAGCACTGCTGAATACAAAGGGGAAAACTCTGACATATAAGTATACATGTACATGTATCTCCTAGAAAAAATAAAAAGATACTACTTCCTATGAATTTTACTAGGACCTCTTACCGCATGCTCTTTGATCTTTTCCATGGTGATCAGTCGCCGAGAAACATGTCTAGATAAACCCTGCTCACTGTTCGCTACAAGTCTGAGGCATGGGTGACTGGGAAGAAACTCGTCTGAATAACTAGGTGTACGTAAAAAGAACAGAAAACAATGTGTCCTTGTCACGCTATAGATACAAAAGAATTTAAAGCTTCGGGGTTCCACCTCAAACATAGCGCAAGACACACTAAGGAAACCTTAAGGGAGCTTATCAGACAAAAGACCCCTCCTGCCGCAGCTAATTCGTAGCTCAGCGACCTGTAACCTATCGCAGCAGGTTCACGTGGAAGCAGACTCGGATTTTCCAAGTGGCCTGTGTCGCAGAATCAACGAAAATGATAGTAAAGGAAAACAACAGTATTTACCTTGGTCGATAAATTGGAAGCCAGTAGACCAGCCGGCCATGAAGAACAAGATGTCGCGCGGCTAGGTCTAATAATGCTGTGAGTATCTCTGACAGACGACAGCCACGCACCGCTGAAGACGGCGACGTCTGATCACTGAAAACGAACACAGACCTTGGTTGCTTTCTGTACTAATAAAATTAAAATAAGTCGCCTTACTTTTTTTCTCTTTGTCTGTTCATTTGACTGACTGACTGACTGACTGACCGATCGATTAACTGACAGATAGACAGACAGACTGACCGATGAACTGACTGACTGACTAAATACCCGACTGATTGACAGATAGACAGACAGACAAACAGACAGACAGACTGAATGACTCACTGACTGACCAACTGACTGACGAAATGTGTCTGACTGTCTGATATGGCCAACTAGTTCGCTAGTTTGTCTGTCTGAGCGTCAGTCGGACTGACTGACTGACTGACTGACTGACTCGCACACTGACTGACTGACTGACTGACTGACTGACTCGCACACTGACTGACTGACTGACTGACTGACTGACTGACTGACTGACTGACTGACTGACTTGCACACTGACTGACTGACTGATTGACTGACTGACTGACTCGCACACTGACTGACTGACTGACTGACTGACTCGCACACTGACTGACTGACTGATTGACAAGCTGTCTGTTTGTGTGTTTCTGGCTGAAGGTTCCTTCCTTCTTTCTTTCCTTCGTTCTACATTTCTTTCCTCTTTTTTCCCTTCCATTCATTTCATTTTAGACATATTTCTACTTACACACTCTCATTCTCCTCATGAATTTCCATATTTGTGTCTAACTTACGAGCTCCTTCTCGGATTCCATAAGGTGCTGAAGCGATTGAAAGACAGAAAGGAAGTATAAATACAAAATTATCAACGACATAAAACAGCACTGACAAGCGAAACAGACACGTTACCACAAGAAATTTGTTTCCTTCACGGATAAGCAAACTCACGGTCTGCTGCGCAGTAGAACGCTAGTTGCGTTTAGTTTTATTTTCATCTGAAAGGTTGAGAAGGGAGCGTGATATTTCTCTACCAGTCAAATAGCAAATTAAACCATTAAAACAAAAATAATTTACTCTCCCAGGGAAGAGAAGAAAATGAGGTATAGAATTCACCACGACAGTAAGATAGTCTTTCCAAGCTAACTGATATGCAGTCTGTGTTTCTACTCACGGTCTGTTATGATTGCATCAAACAAAGGAATTTCTCGCAGTCCAAGTCTCCCCGCGTCAGCTATGAGTATATCAACGAAATAACTGTCGAGTCCATACTGTGCAAAGTTTGCCCGAAAATTCTCATCGCGACCTAAAGAAACAGAGGAAAATGAACATACTTGTATACAAATTCTCACTACCAGAAGGTTTCTACAGTGTCGCAAAATTATAATGAGAATTCGTCAAATGATCAAACCAGAGAGTGGTAGGATTAATACCATAAGTTTTCTGGAGGTTAAAAAGGAAGATTTTTCGTACCTCTCCACTGGCCTTTCCTTTCGGCTCGTGAACTTCTACCTAGGGGGAAGGAAAAAAATACATGGAAAAGATTTTAAAGGATGCCCCCCTGTATATGATGCGGAAGGCTAAACTGCCACGTCCCCCTCCCCCCCACGTCCCCCCCTCTCGAAAAAGGCCTGATTTGTTTTCATACTACACTAAGATACAATGATGACAATTTCAATTGAAGCCGTTTTGAAGAACACTTTGAAAAGAAGTGTTTTTAGATATCTCTGGAGTAGCGTGGACGGAGCCCTCGAGCTTTTGTGCTGATGGTCAAAAGGGATTTTGAGAAAAAATAACAGATCGAGTACCTCTACCATGAAGCAGTGTATAATCTATGTCACTTCCCATCACATGGGCACCAAAATGAGCGCAGGCCACAAGAACACTACCTATAAGAGACAAAGCTTTGTTAAAATGACAACTTATGTGCATCG